CTCATTGAATAGAAGGTGTGGGATCTGGCTCGTTATACAGCGGTTTGATCATGTTCACCAAGATATTTATGTTTATTTCATAGAAATGTATACGAAACATGTTTAACTTATAGGACTGTACTTCCATATTTGCTCAGTTATTTAGTTGACTGTACGGCAACTTTCTACGAGTAGACTCAATATAAATAGACCTACTATATAGTAATGTACGAGGTGCGATCGGAAAGTTTCAAGACTGTGTCAATAGAGGGCGAACCGGATGTAGTACGAGCTTCTGCCTTTAGGGGGTGCGGCCTACATTCATAGTGAATCAGTGTGCCAGCCGGCATCATCGAATTAGCATTTGTTTCGTAGTTACGGGCGTTTTGGTAGTGCATTACACCGACCCTCCTGCGATTGCGGAATGGCGTGTGCACAATGGGTCGTGCACAAACTTTTGTGTGGCATTCACGTTTTAAAAATGGCTGAACCTCTGTCGATGATGACGAGCGTTCTGGACGACCATCTTCGAGCACAACGCCCGAAAATGTTACGAAGATTCGGCAGGCCCTTCACGAAGATCGACGTCGTACCATCAACGACTTGTGCGCCATTGTTGGGATAGGCTATGGGGCCTGTCAGCTGATTCTAAAGGAAGAACTCCACATGCGACGCATCCTGTCTGAGGACCAGAAGCAGAATCGACTTCTCGTTTGTCAGGAGCTCAAAGATCTTGCAAGAACCGACCCCAACTTCCTTTCTAAGGTTTCCTCTTCTCAAAGATGAAAATTCAGCTAAAGGGGAGGAGATTTGAGACGATAGAAGAGATTCAGACAGAATCGCAGATGGTGCTTGGCAGGCTGACAAAGAAAGATTTCCAGGGATGCTTCCAGGCTTGGCAGCGGCGCTGGGATCGTTGTGTTCACTCCCAGGGGAACTACTTCGAGGGTGATGGATGAATTTAATACCTGAGATAAGTGTACGGGTTTTTATACGCGCAGTCTGGAAACCTTTCGATCGCACCTCGTATAACAATATAATCAATAATATGCGTGACGTGTGTCTTGAATTTCATGTTTTAAGTCACTATGTAATCATACATAAAATCAGGGATTTTAAAATTAGATAAATGTCGTTGTGGGTGTTAAAACTGTCCCCTGACGCCAGCGGTATAACGAGGGTCTACCATAATAATTGATCATGTTTGGAGAGTATTATTTGTACTGTACAATATATTTTCTTTTCTAGAAAAACCTGCTTGTATTTTAGTAGTCTTTGATTAGAAAACGTTGCTGAGTCACTGGTCTGCGAACTCGCATATCGTTTCCCTTTTCGTTAAAGCTATGAATTGCCTGCAATGTAGCAGGTGAAGCGGAAGGCAAACTATAGAATGGAGAGTCCTCCAAGGAATGTAGGGCACTGAAAGAGAAAAGAGGTGTTCCTAGGAGTCGTCGTGCCACGGAGGTTTTGGCACCATCGATTTTACAATTACGCATTCTGCCTGTAGATAAAGCTAGACGCGTTCTGATCCAGAACAGTAATAACTTCTAACAGAATATATAGGCTAATACTGCAGCTATTGTATCGCTTTCATCTGTTTTGTAAGAAAACAGTTCGAGACTGAGGGTGTGTCAAAACAAAGCGCTAGGGACAAAATTTGATAACGTAGTGGGAGAATGAAAACAATTGTATGATGAGTAGCTTCATATTGTGTCTCTCTGTCTCATACTGGTGGTTAAAATAAGGATAGTTGTATTAGAAGGCACCGGGTGTGTGTGGGGAATATAGGAAATTCATATAAAATTTAGTTTGGAAAACCTCAAAAGATGAGACCAAATTTGAGAAATAATCTCTAGATATTGTCCAGCGACGAGATTTTTTGAAAACTAAGATAAAGGTTTGGGTTCCATAAAGTCGTAAATGTTCGTGTACAGGTGAATGTAATTGCAGATTTAACAGTAAACTGCCCTTTACTATGGGGAACCACATAGCCATCTTTTTATAACAACTGACTAGGTCACGGATAGGTTCTGAAACCAATATTAGTGACTACTGCCTGTTCCATCGAACTTAAATTAGGTTTATGTCTCGAGTGCAGCTTATTCCGAGATCAATAAAAGAGAAATTGGATTTATCATCAAATTACATTCCCCTGTCTGTCTGTGGAGTGCATAGAATCGTGAAATCTTGTTTTGAGCTTTGGTAAAAAATTCCACATTCCTAGCAGCAGAATATTTAGAGGCTCTCACTATTCCTAAATATTGCAGTATATCGTGTGAACTCGGTAATGTACAGTACGAGGTGCTACCCAAAAGTTCAGGTAATTTGCCCGTTCAAAAAATTGCTTATCATAACTCCTAGTTTCCACCGTCTCCTTCGAATTAGTCCCCTTGGGCATAGGTACAGCGATCCCAGCGTTTTTTCCATGATTCCATGCATCCCTGGTAGTCTTCAAGTGCGAGTGTTTTAAGCACCTTTTGCGATTTTGCCTGGATCTCCTCAATTGTGTCAAAACGACGGCCTTTCAATCGAAATTTTATTTTTGGGGACAGGAAACAGTCGCAGGGGGCGAGGTCAGGCGAATAGGGTGTGTGGGGAATCACTGTCGTGCTTTTGGAAGCCAAAAACTGCCGAACAACGAGCGACGTGTGGGCGGGCGCGTGGAGAACCCAGCTGTTGTTCTCCCACTTTTCCGGACGTTTGCGCCTAATGTTCTCCCGTAGCCGCTTCAAAACTTCACACTAAGACTTCCCGTTGACAGTTTGACCAGTAAGGACAAATTCCTTGTGGACAATGCCTTGGATGTTAAAAGAAAAGATCAACATGGACTTCACATTGCTGCGAACTTGACGTTCTTTTGTGGCCGCGGTGAATTTTGCGACTTCCACTGCGACGAATGCTACTTAGTCTGAGGGTCATAACCGTAAACCCATGACTCATATCGGTTATGATCTTGGAGATGAAGTTGGGGTCATCTCTGGCTTCATCTTTGAGTTCAGTGCGGACAGCAGTCTCGGCACAAATTTTGCAGAAATGCGTCTCATGTTATCTCATCGCTTTATGAAAGGAACGTGAATCTTCAAAGTTCAGACTAAAATTCCTTACAAACAAATTAATTTTCAATTAATTTATATACAGTAATTTGAGGTGTGGTGACACGATCAGGTACATAGGCCTACGTAACAGCAACGGAAGTAACATTTGCAGTACACATCCTGCATTTATTTATTTTAATGAATTTTAATTTTCGCATGGGACATGCATGTGTCGAGGTTTCAAAATTAGTTCTGAAATGGTACAGGCAGACGGCCTAATCCAGTGTATCTGAAGTGGAATGAACTGTAATTAATTTAAATTTAATAGGATACAAATAATGGAAATAAAAATATATTTTAAGGAATAAAATGTTGTACGAATTGTTAGCATTCGATATCAAGGATGATTCACTTATTGGTAAAGTTTGTGGCTCAACACGGTAATTAAACTTCTGGTTGCTTAGAAGCAAGGAATATCTTGATCATCTAGCACCTATAAGGTTGGTTATATAAGAAATTTGCAATGTGACATTGCGTATCGCATTAAACTCTGTTTAACATGAGAAAAATGTCCTACAAGAAACCTTCCCATAGGCTGCTATTGAAAGTACTACACTGCTCTGAGAAATGGGTAAATGGGTTTAGCGCTTGTGGGTTGGTAGTGTTCTACACTAATTGCATATTGAACGCGATTAGGAGCCATTCTCACGCAAGCTGTCGAAATGATGTAATTGTGTGCACACATTCAAGTGTCGGTCGGTTTTATGTGATATTCATGACAATATAACGGAACTAACATGAAGATTAATTATGAAGGAATTTTTTTTCTCGACATATCCATCGTCTAGGATTAAATAAAATCAACGAAGTTTAATTATGGTTAAACGAGGGAGGACCGGAGAGGAGGGTTTCTTACGTAAACGGAATTTCAAATTCCTTACTGATTTATCAATTTCTGTCAATACCTACATATACACAAACACTTATCATTTAGTACTGTATAAAATCTCAGTTGAAAGAACCTACGTAAATAGCCTTACAGTAATTAATCCGTGATATTGTTACACCCGCTATGTAACATAAAAATATCTGCGTGTTTCCTGCATCCACGTCTGTGTTGTAATCGTTAGGAGACAATCTGCTTCAAATGTAACAGCCAATGTCCTTCATGCTTCACTGAACGAGCGCGCAATTCGTGAGATGCGGAAAAATTGAAATTATGTTTTGACGGTGGCGATTCTGGTAGCAAAAGATGCGCCTATGGTGGAGTCTGGCGGAGTCTGCGCTTGCGGGAATCTGGAGTCTGGTGGTCGATTATTATTGGTGCGTTTAACTGAAATCTGGCTTTAGTCGTCTTGAGGATGTTTTTATAATTAATTTTGATAAGAATTTTTTTCAACGTTTATACTTTCAGTACTTTTGGCAAAGGTGGGCCATGCTACGCTAGCATCAGTTCTAATGCATAAAGCTATCCATCTGTTATTTACAAGACATGCAACCATGCAGCGACACAGTGGTAGACTAATAGGTTTAAGAAATAAATGTGATAACGCATTGTTTAGCTTTCAGGTCCCAATTTTATGATAATTAGGTGTTTGATTGCAGTTCGTTTAGACTATATACTTATTATGCAACGTAAATTGTTAGAGTGCCATGTTTGCCCATTAAGTATGTATATATAATATTAATCTAATTGTAAACAAAACACTGGCGAAAAACGGGCAGGCCTTGCTTTACCAAGTCATGACTAAAATAATTTTAAAGGACTGTACAATTCCGTCAGAGAATATATAACAGCATTGTATGAGATTTAATTTTCTCGAGACAATGAAAATGTCGATAGCGGTCTTCTGGGTTGTGACGCCGTACAGATTTACTGTTGAGCTGTCAGCTGTGTCAGTAGCCTTTACAACTATCAGCACCATCGGTGTTCGCAGTCCCGTATATGTCAGTGACAGTTTTGACACCATTGCTCTTCTGTTTCAGATGTGGAGATTAGATCCCCGCGGTTCACAGGCCAGGGTTGGCTCGCGTTCCCCGCGCTGCGCGCTGCATATAAACACGTGCAGTTGGAACTGGAGTTCCGCCCAGAGGCGTGGGATGGAATTTTATTTCTGACGGGAGAGCGCGACGACATGGCTGGGGACTTCATGGCCCTGCTCCTGCATCAGGGATTCGTCGAGTTTAGGTAGGCCACGTATTTCGTAACTGATGATGCTATGATCGATAAAACTTCCTCAGAACCATGTTTAGTATTTTTTTTCCCATCGTCTATGGTCAAGCTTGACTGTCGTGACCACTTTTGGGGTTCTCTTGCGAAAGTACCACGGTGGGTTCGCACTTACTTCCGTGGCCAGTCTTTATCTACCAGACTGGAAGAGAAAGGACGCGGACAAACATCCATGCCTTCAGTGGGACTCGAACCCACGGTCGCAGCGGCCAGGCGCACGAGGACCATGCCTCAGACCGCGTGGCCACTGCGCCGGCTATTATATTATAACTTGATATTATGTACTCTGTTGTCCTTGACAGTTGTGGTTACTTGTGGCTTTTTAACCATGTAAATTGTACTCGTAAATTGATATGAAAAGGTTTTCGTGGTAGATGCCATTATACGGGTTGATGGAAAAGTCTGAAACATATAATAAGGTTGTCATTGAATGTAATTCTATTGGTTACTAAACACGCAGTTTCACTGTGACTTTTGAGATGATATGAAATTCGCGCACAAGCTCCCCACAGTATGTTTACTTTTTTTAAAAAAATAAGTAGAAAATGTTACAGGACATATGTCCTGAGACGCTTAGATTTCGAGATAAACCGTCACCGTCAAATGGGGTAACACACTTCTCAGCAGTCATTTATCACGACGATACATAAAGCGAGTTGTTAGGTGTTCTCAAGACAGAGTGCTCTCCTGGGCTCAGTTGCGACCGAATGACCATGAAATACACGCATGACGAATACTGCAAGATGCTCATAAACCTCGGTGCCTGCAATAGTTGAGTTGGTACTGCTTCGCGGAATTACGCATTGAGTTATTCTGGTCGAAGTCGTCCAGACACTAATGTGTTTTAACGACTGGAGCAGCGCGCATGTTTCCAGACGATCGTCCTATATGAATGCAATTTTACGAACGCCTACGCCATGGACACAATGACGCTGAGCTCTTTTTACGCATTCTGTGGACAGACAAAGTGTGGTTTACTTGTGAGGGTGTGTTCAACGTCCACAACAGTCACCTCTGAGCACGGAATGATCTTCATGCTCTTCGCGAACGTGGGTGTCAAGTTCGCCTCAGCTTCAGCTTCAGCGTTTGGCCTGGTATCGTCGGGTACATTGTCGTTAACATTTAAAATAACGTTGAATACTCGTACAATCAAAAACCAATAAATTACTGATTTTTTAGTAACTGAGTAGTTCTTTCAAGGAAGACTTTGTCCCCTAAAGTTACTTAGTCACAGCCTTCTTCTGTTGGTTAAACTAGGTAAATAAATATCTTAGTACTCAAATTAGTTGCTTAGCCAGTTCCCATATCCACTACTTTGTGCTTCGGATGTGGTTTTCTTATTATTGGAACAGTCTTTCCAGTGAATGTATCCAAATTTCGTATTCTATAAATCCTAATTTTTCGATTGCCCCGGAGTGTAATTAATATCCAGTCGATGATGTGATATATATATGTTAGTATGAATCTCAGTATGGGATAACATCAGTACGAAAGACAATCACCAATGACGCAATGTATGTGTGTGTATGTGATTAAACTGACGTCAGCTAGGTTATTGTGTTGCAGTTAGTGTTGTCAGCCCTGACCGTTGTTTTTCGTTGCATACTCAGCATTGCAGATGAAACTTTCTGATATCATTTGCAGTTTGCGAAGAAATTAACCCTTTGAAGTTGGCGCTTGTAAATATAACTTTTAAGAATTCAGTCCGTACCCCAGGCAAGATCACTTCATCATTACAAATATCAGTTGGCTGGCTAATGGTGTGTAAGGAAATTATCACTGTCTGCACTGAGAATCATACATGACCCATAAATACGAAATGCAGATTTACTTATTGTTAAAGCAGGTGGTTAGTTCCCACTAGACATCAAATTGTTAAGTGGGAAGAAATAAAAGTACATGAAGATGGCACTGTTCTGAGTTCGTACGCGGTATAGTCCAATAGAAGTTTACCGACGCTTCATACGCGCCGCCTTGAGAACGTAAAATCGCATAAAAGCATATCAGTATGAAGATCTGTTACATTTATTTTCTTCAGATGCGCTCTTTGCTGTTTTGGTGTTTATGTTACGCAGTGTAGATGCAAAGCTATTTTTGCTAGAGAAGTCGCTTAATACGAGGTGCGATCAGAAAGTTTTAAGACTGCGCCTATAAAAACCCGTACACTTATCTCAGGTATTAAATTCATCCATCACCCTCGAAGTAGTTCCCCTGGGAGTGAACACAACGATCCCAGCGCCGCTGCCAAGCCTGGAAGCATCCCTGGAAATCTTTCTTTGTCAGCCTGCCAAGCACCATCTGCGATTCTGCCTGAAGCTCTTCTATCGTCTCAAATCTCCTTACCTTTAGCTGAATTTTCATCTTTGGAAAGAGGAAGAAGTCACACGGAGCTAAATCCGGCGAATAAGGAGGGTGCGGGATGACGGCCATGGTGTTTGAGGCCAAAAACTGCCGAACTTTGAGGGCGGTGTGCGCTGGCGCGTTGTCATGATGCGTCGCATGGGGAGTTCTTCGTTTAGAATCAGCTGACAGGTCCCATAGCCTATCCCAACAAGGTCGCACAAGTCGTTGATGGTACGACGTCGATCATCGTGAATGGCCTGCCGAATCTTCGTAACATTTTCGGGCGTTGTGCTCGAAGATGGTCGTCCAGAACGCTCGTCATCATCGACAGAGGTTCGGCCATTTTTAAAACGTAAATGCCACACAAAAGTTTGTGCACGACCCATTGCGGACTCCCCAAATGCTTGATTTAGCATTTCATAGGTTTCCGTAGAGGTTTTGGCGAGTCTTTGGCAAAATTTGATGCACACGCCATTCCGAAATCGCAGGAGGGTCGGTGTAATGCACTACCAAAACACCCGTAACTAAGAAACAAATGCTAATTCGATGATGCCGGCTGGCACACTGATTCACTATGAATGTAGGCCGCACCCCCTAGCAGAGACGGACACTGTTTAAAGTAATTAAATATTTTCAATTGTTTAATTAATTACACAACATTGAGTTATTGCACGAGACTTCCACTCTGTTACTCAATTGTCCGCATCTTTTCTCTTTGTCTTGTGCAGATTATATCTTTCGAAGATCCGATTCTCCATCCAAAGAGCCCTACCAAATACCAAAAACTATCTTTCTGTAATTAATTTTGAATCATAGTATACTGTAAGTCAGAATCTGTAATAAATGGGAGGTAGAAGAACAGCGATTATAAAATATACAACGGGACCTCAATTATGCGGTATAAATGGAAACGTGGCTCTCTCCCGTAACCGAAACTCACCTTTCTTGTATTTTCTTATGTGGTTATTGGGGTTCGTTTATCGCCTAAGCCCGTAGTCATTTGAAGAAGAAATGTGTACAGTGTAATTTAAAGAAGTGTTCTTTTTTACAAAATACCGTCTGGCAACATATATATTATGTGTACAACATATTAACATAGTATACAGGGTTATTCATAATTCCTTGACACATTACAAAATATCGCTAGACGTGAATGGTGCAATGGATGGTAACATAGGACATGCCGATAGAAAGAGAAACTATACAAATTTATTTTACAAATGCTCTATGTGTCCGCCCTTTGTGACGCGGCAGACGTCAAGCCGATAATCCATTTCCTCCCATACCCGCTGCAGCATGTCACGATCGATTTGTGAGATGACAGCGATGATTCGTCTTCGCGGCTCAGATGCCCCGTCTTGCTGATAAATGAAGTCATCGCTGTGATCATGAAGCTGCGACATTAGTCATTCCTGCATCATCTGAAGATAGGACGTGCCAGTGATGGTTGCCTCGGCGAAAAATGGTCCGTACACCTTCTCTTTGGATATGGCACAGAAAACGTTCAGTTTCGGTGACTCCCGAATGTGTTCAATTGTGGCATTTGGGTTTTCACTTCCCCATACCCACACATTGTGTCTGTTCACCTTCCCATAAACATGAAACGTAGCTTCGTCGCTGAAAATCAGTTATTCAGCGAAACCGTCTTCCTCCAAGTGCTGTTACAAACTTGGAGTGTTTCTCTTTTTATCGGCATGTCGTATGTTACCATCCTTTGCAACATTCAAGTTTGGCGATTTTTTGTAATGTGTCAGGGAAATATGAATAACCCTGTATATTTATAGTTATCTCTTTATTACGTCATAATTCTGCCGGCCGGCCGACACGGTTAACAGGATTTCGGTTTGTAGAGAGATGGCTGCCTCCTGGGATGTTGCATCGTCTACTCTCGTAGAAATTGACCGATGTTTTAAGGCGATCGCCCTGGTGATGGAGGCTCTAAACATCTCTGAAACATCTGACAGTTTCCACGAGACTACACGGCTAAACCTCCCAGGAGGATGTATCTTCACACTCTTCGCCATAAGGACCTGAAATCGCACCATTGATTAGTAGAGGTTTGGGACAAACTTTACTTTTTACTGTGTTATGTTATAACGAATGCTGACATTTTTTCATTGTGAATTGTTGTAGGCCTTTCAGTTGCTCCATCCGTTTCCTTGACAGTGTTTACATTCACTCCATTGTCATCGTGAATGTGGCTGGTACAGTGACGTTAGGTGAAGTGAGAAGAAATAAAACGTCTATAAATATATTGCCTTTGTACAAGTTCCTTTATTCTTCTGGGCGCCGGGTGATTGCGAGAGTGAAAGATGGGGAGAACATTGACCCAGGCCCCCCCCCCTGCTCCCCATTCATCTTCAGGTCAGTACCCGCAATCAGGATTTTAGCTGAAGTCGCTTGAGGTTCCGCTGTGTTCCTTTAGCCCCTCCCACCTCACATCCACCGGCCAAGGTAACCTTCTATTGAGTAATTACTCAGTTTTATCTACGAAGGGCGGATCGTACTAGGGCGAGCAAACTACGGCCTATGGCCACAAATTAATAGCATGATACGTTTTTTAGAGTAGTCTGAGTGCGTATGATTTCGGTATTCCTTGCTGCCTCCATCATCAG